TTTTTTTTTTTGGTTTCGCTTTTTTTTTTTTTTTTTTTTTTTTTTTTTTTTTTTTTTTTTTTTTTTTTTTTTTTTTTGTTTCTTTGACTTCCCGATTATATCGTTAATAGTATTGATTAAGCGCGATTATATGAAAATTACTTAACAAAAACATTTCCACAATACAAAAGACTTATATTTTTCGTTTTTAATTTTGAAAAGTTTTATATTTTAAAGGGCGACTCTTAAATATTTTACGTACAGTTCCGAATATCCATCAAATTTACAACGGCTCTCCTAGTTTCCTCATTTCGCTAAAACGCTTCCCACTTTGTCCCATTTGGGAGGACTAACTTATACCCGAAACAGCAACTCGTCGTTTCATATTATCCGTGAAACGGTTGAAAAACTTCCTGGTCGAAGCGGCGTGAATACAGATGGGAACGAATGAACGGAAAAAAAAAACAAAAATACCACGAGGCTTGTTACTGCCTCAGCAATGAATTTTCATCCCCCCCCCCCTCTTCACTCCAGCCACATTCAATGCGGCCCTGTGTTTTCTTTTTTGATGGTCACACGTTGGATAAAAACACGAGAGAAAATTGAAATTTAATGCAAAGTGACATTCTCGAAGATGGGCGGGAAAAATAAAACGGGAAATTTGTTAAAAAAAGAATGACAACGAGTTGCTTGTTTCGAAAAATAAATAGAATTTATGAAGATATAATTATATATTATACAATATTAAAACTGCAATTCAACTTATTTAAACATTCGTATGAAATTAATTTAGCTATCAATATCCTTAATCTTTACTAGACTAGCAATAATCATTATTCAATAAAGCATGTCGATTCTCTAGGCTTATTTATATGATTTATATCCTATATAACGAAGAGTTTTCAAAGTTCTAAAAGTAGAAGGGAGTTTGCAAAACAAGTACCAACGTACTTACCTGATGCCAAATGCGATCCCCAAGGCGACGATCAGAGGCACAAGTGTTGATATACAGGCCAAAAAGACAGTTTCCATATCCGAGAATGCCGCAAGTATACCTATAAATAAATATAAAGGACATTGGAATGTAAAATAGTCCTTTGATATATCAGAATTCGAATTTGAATCATAGCTCAGGTATATATGCGTTTATTGGTCATTTTTACGTCTTATTTTAGATTTACACATCACATGCAAAGCGCAATCTACGGTCATTCGACGTAGATACGTTAAAACATTCATATGTTTTAAAGAGAATTTAGACTCTTGAGGCACAATTTATGTTTTTATATACACTTTGTGTAATCTGTAAAAAAAAATACAGGAACAATGAATTTTGTTTATTCCGGCCTATCTTGACGGATCAACGAATCTGACATTGTAAAAAAAAAAGTATGGATTTTATATTCAAAAATTAATCCGTGAATAATTAAACAATAAAAACAACAACAAGAGAATTCACAAATAAATGAATAATTGTCTCCTTAAATGCGTCTTACAAGTATTATTACAATAAACAAGAGAATTCATTTTGACAGTTAAATTTTGAAATTTCTATATGGCAGTAAAAATTTTAAATTTACTAATCGAAGATTGTTATTTTCAAAGGTATTGTTAATGATATATCATTTATTAAAGGAAGTTTATTGAAATTAAGACAAATAATAAAATTGTGTAATGTAATATAGCAAACAAACTGCTTTACAATAAGAAAATATGAAAAAACACGCGTAGAATTAATTGTTATTCGCGATTTACGGATCTTATTATTTATATTCAAAAGCTACATATATATATATATCGTAGGAATAATTGTAGGAATAATAATTATATGAATATCCATAAAATGTACGTAATATGAATAAATTGATAGATTCAATAAAATTCTATAGCTTTTACATCATTGAATTGTTGAATTTATATGAAAAATGTACATGTTAAAATTTCTGCGTTCTCGGTACATTAAGTCTCTTAAAATAATTTTTGTAATGAGACAAATCATACATTATTGCTTAACTTATATCAAGTACAGTGTTGCTAAAATTTGGACGAAACCAATACTCGCGCAATACGCAATAGTATTCAATTGGTACTTATCTTCGAATCATATTACACGGTTTTTCACATGGATGAATATTAAAAAAAATTGCAATGACATTATAATATAAAATGGTCGATGTAAAACTGTAAATATTATGTAATAAATTATGAAATTAAAAAAAAAATATAGCCAAATCTGCTTTGTTAAAACAAAAACAAATTATTTTACATCAATAAACTCTAGTCTTACTACTAGTAATAATTTAAGTATATTATATAATTTATTTAGTTCTGTAGTAATAATGTAAAAGTATAAATTTCAGACCACTAATGCACATTTGTAACTTTCATCGGGTCTGCGAAAATTAATGATAGATAAATATTATTACCTAACATTAATAACACAAACTTCATATTTTTTAAAAGTATTTGAATATAATGACATAAAAATCTAAAAATATTTTATGATGGGATTATCAAAATCTGCTCTTTAAATGTGAAAATTAGCACATTGACTAGAGATTAGCAAGTAAACTTGTTTGTACACAAACGAACTCACTTTTACGTGTATTTGCGTCAAAATTCGAGTTGACATTCAAGATTTTGATACCAGCTGGACTGATAGTTTCTTTGCAAGAATCCTTTTCAAAGCCGTTATAATATTGTTAAAGGATTTTAAAATAATTTACATTTAAATTAAAATTTTATTTAATATTATTATATATCGTCGACACAATAAGTCCTCGATAATTTAATATTCGAAAATTTAATAATATATCGAATAAAATATTACCATCATTTTAAATTCGAATTCTTTGTTTAATAAATTCTTTTTTAATAATTCTTTTTTTAATAAACTTTATTGATATATTTAATTTAAAGATAATACAGTTAATCGATACATATCAATTATCATTGCTTCAACATTAAAATATTAATTCGGAGAAAATGACCATTTATTTTATCAACGTGACGTTGTACTACTGAATAAATACTTTGAATAATGCCTCGTCATAATGATGAATCAATGTGTGATTTGATAGCTTTTCAAACTAATACATAATGTAGTTCAGATATTCCATGTTCCTCGATAATTGCCGCGGCCTCGCCACTTCTCGATGCACTTACACGAATAAATCTCTAAATCAAAATTTAAAGGCGCATTATTACAAATCTGGCAAACAAAAAAATCATAAAATTTAATTAAAATATTACGACTAATTATCATTAAAATCCGTAATATTTATCTAGATAATTGTGTTCCTTTAATCAAACTAGTATTTTAAAACCTCATTATAATTATTTATCTATCTCTTTAATCGCAAATGGTTTAATTATGCCTCACGATTCGCAAATCACTTGCAAATAACTTTTCAGCTCCATCAATGTAATAAATTAATCAAGCTCTATTTCTAATTAAATTTTCTCCTGTTGTTATATATAATCTCTAAATTTACTTTCAATCCAATAACATCGGTGTCTCAAGTAAATCAACGATGTTTGTCAATTAATAAATAATCGAACAATAATCATTCGATACCGCTTGCATATTCTTTATTTTGAAAATTATAATTAAATTAAATTAAATCATCCGTTCAATATTCACTATATTCTATTGCGTAGAAAAAATTGTTTGAGACGAACTAAACCGCTAAGCGTACTTCGATAATTCCTTGGTGTTTATATTATCGGGTACTTCAAAGTAATTATAAACCATTCGCATTCCAAACGATTATACGAATACTCTATAAATATTGATAAGCAACAATGTAATTAATCTAATTTGTACTTTTACAATACAAATTTCATAAGAAAAATTCGAACCGCTGAGTCGATCATTTGGCTTTGCATTCTACTTAAAAGAAATTAAATGGAATTTGCGAGTTTTTGAAATTGTTATACATTAATCGTTATAATAAACTATATGAATTTCAAAGTCCATTAAAGCAATAAATACAATAAAAACGAACGAATTCACTTTTATAATCATGTATCCGTAGGGATAGACATAACATAAAATAAAAATGAAAAATTATATTCCATAATGTGCAATGTACCCAATGAATATAATAAATAAGTAAAATGATGAGAATAGCACATTTTACGTATGATAACCTTTTAGCATATTAATATTTACCTACATTACGAATTAAATAATAGTTTATGTCTTTAAGTACGTATTTATAAGAGATAAAAAAAAAATATATATATATATATATATATATATATATATATATATATATATTAAAATATTATAAAATGCTCGAAAATAGCGGTATCGGTACAAGCAACGTATTCGATTTATAAAATAAAACTTTAAGAATTCAATGAATTTATGGAATGAAACATTTTATGAACAATTGCCAAATTGATTAACATTAATTAGTTCAATAACATTATTTTTAAACTAATGTTTAAACCCGTATCTTTAAACTAAACGCGTTTCAAATCTGATATTTTAAATTCCAGTTCTATCCGAGAAGCTCGACTACATTCGCGAAATCTCCATGAGCAAAATCTGTATTATCAAATAAAAACGAAAACAATTAAAAATGTAAATAACCAAATAATTTCCATACAATTGTATTTACACGTTAGCTAGTTGCGCGTGTATTGATGTTTATTCAGCTGAATGGAAAAAAAAGGAGAAATAAAACAAAAGTGCTGCCTCGCTAAAAGGCAACGAGTTTGTTTTTACTAACCGAACGCCCATATTAGCGAAGAGTGTAAAGCTTTGTGTGCTCGCGCCCGGAGTAGCTCGCAAATAATGTGGCGGGGCCTCCATCCAGCCCCTTCCCATCCTCGGCTGGCAGCTGCGACCTCACTACCCACGCTACTCAGGCGCCTAAGTGCGACTACTCTTCCTCCGGATCTTAAAATTCGAGATGAGAGTACGAGCGCACCGATATACCTGCTCATTAGGTACAACACTCTGAAATATTTGCCGGTGAATTTGAAATTATTGACGCGAATTGATGCTCGTGTTCGTAACCATCGTAGTACCGGCCGGGACTCGCATCATTTTCATGACTTTAGTAGCCCTTTGCATTTAACTATTGTCGTGTAAAAACAATCCGTTAACCATTGAAGTTTATGATAGATAAATATGGAGTGTTGCAAGGCTAGGGACTTTCATTTCATTCAATCGGAGACGTAAAATGAAGTTTCTCTTATCTTATCGACATTCTCGCAAAATAAAAATGGCTCGAGCTAATGAAATTAAAGAACATCAGTTAAATAATGTCAAAAAAATGCCGATTTGCCCTATTTGATTGAATTACAATTAATTGGCAAGATCGGTTCTTTTAACTTTTAAGCTTTTTTTTGTTTTGTTTACAATTAGCCTATTCAATGATAATTTCTTTTAAAAAATTAATAAGAAAATACAGTATCAAATACATATATAAAATATCGAACTTCAATTAATTATAGTGTTATTTTATTATTACGTCATAGTATTGCAATTAATTGAAAAAGCAATAATGAATATCTGCCTGTTAACACACATACTTAATAAAAGTGACGACGACATCAAACACAACATCGTCAAATAAACAAACGAAGAAAATTGAGTAATTCCTGATAATATATAATCACTAAAATGATTTGAAATTGCATATCATTAAGGGATGAGCTCGCTTGTACTAAAGGAGGATAGCGAGAAATAAAATGTCAATCACGCACCAAACTAGGATAGCGAAGCTCACTTTACCAATTCCATATGATTCTAATGCGGCGGCACAAGTGTAGACGGTTGCGTGCGATACTTCACACAAACACACACACACACACACACACACACACACACATATATATATATATATATATATATATATATTTATTTATATTTATATGTATGTGTGTTTATTTTTTTGTTTGTTTGTTTGTTTGTTTGTTTGTTTGTTTGTTTGTGTGTGCGTCTGTGCGTGCGTTTTCGCATATGTGTGTGTGTTTGTACTCGCGTTTGTGAAACGACTGGACAGATTGTCTGACGTTTATTTAGAAAGGAGTCGAAGCG